CAGTCATAGGACAGTTGGACCACTCCTGCTTATTTCTTTTTTTTTAATATTTATTCTTAAGTTTTAGGTGAACACAATATATTTTACATATGTGTGGTGCTGAGGATCAAACCCAGTGCCTCGTGCATGCTCGGCAAGCAGTCTACCACTGAGCCATAGCCCCAGCCGCTCCTGTTTGTTTCTTCTTCTCTTGGATCCAACTCACTTGTCTCAGTAGGATTTGGTGGCCAAGGCCAGGGAAGGTAGGACTCCTGGCCATGCTGGAAGGCGGCTAGGTCTTTTTAGTTATGAGCAAAAGCTTCTCCACTGCCGTTGCTGAGTTTTGGACCCATCAAATCCTATGAAGCCGTTTTTACAATCTAGGTGCTTTCATACACAAAGTCAGTCAGAAAACCTTTCCTGTGCCCCTCAAATGAAGAATACCAACTTCTACTGGCAGAGACAGGGACAGCCACAGGGACTCTTGGGACCTTCTATTTCACCTGGGCAGAGGCAGGTGTCAAGAGACTTTGCTCACCAGTGATGTTTCTGGACCATGGTGGCTCAGCTCAGCACAATCCTCAGCATGTGACATGGCCCCTACCACAGAGGGTCTGCAATCTGACTAGGTAGAGAAGCTGAGTGCAGTGGCATGTGCCTGTAATCCAAGTCACTATGGAGGCTGAGATTGGAGGATCACGAATTCAAGGCTATCCTGGGCAACAAGTGAGACCCATCTCAAAATAACGAAATATCCGGGTAGAGAACCCACACAGTCTTGATTTTGGAAGGAAACTTCTAGGGTACCTTCTCTAGCCTCTGCCCAAAGGGGAAATCACTTCTATAAGCCTGTCCTTCATCACTTACTTCTAAATGAGTCACATTGAACAGTGATTCAAAAACTGAATTTGCAGTAAGGTAAAACCCTCATCTGAAATGACAGATTTACCTGGGAAGAACAAGCATTGCTGAAAATCAAAACTCTCCTTTGGGGCTGAGGATGTGGCTCAAGCGGTAGCGCGCCATGCCTGGCATGCGTGCGGCCCGGGTTCGATCCTCAGCACCACATACCAACAAAGATGTTGTGTCCGCCGAGAGCTAAAAAATATTAAAAAAATTCTCTCTCTCTCTCTCTCCCCTCTCTCTCTTAAAAAAAAAAAAAAACAACAAACCTCTCCTTTGGAAAATAATAGAGCTGGGCATGGGAGCCACACCCATAATCCTATACTCTGAGGCTGAGGCAGGAAGATGCCAAGTTTGAGGCCAACCTCAGCAACTTAGCGAGACTGTCTCAAAATGAAAAACAAAAAGGAATAGGAATGTAGCTCGGTGGTTGAGAACCCCTAAGTTCAATCCCAAGTACCAAAAATGAAAATATATAAAAAAATAAAAAGTGCTAGGGGTGGAGACAGGACTTCTCTTCAAGGTGTGCCAGAATAATGAGATGGTCTTCAACTGCCTTCTTGAGGAGGTGATACTGGCAGTTCGGGACTTTATATTGATGACTGAGTCCGGTGTGCAAGTCTGGGGTAGTCAGGAATTATTCGGGGAAACAGAGGGTGCCAAGCTGCCGGATCTCCCCCTCCAGCAGCACCCCTTCCTCCCTAGGGCCTGGAGTAAGACTGGCTGGCTCAGACTCCCTTACTAGCTTTGGATGGTGGGCAAGCTGCAGAACCATCCTTAACCTGTTTACATCTCTGCACGGTGAAGACCATTTATGTAACACCACCTGCTCAATAAACAGTAGCTCTGATGCTGACACTGTCTTTCCCAGTCAGCTGTGAGTGGCTTATTTCTCCTCCTCTGGATTCTGGTGCTCAGCAGCTTATGTCCAAGCTCCTCAATACACTGTCAGTTACATCTGCCCCTCCAGAGGATTGGGAATGTAGCTCAGTGACAGAGTACTTGTCTAGCATGAGCAGAGGTGCCTTCCTGCCCAGACCCTCGTGCCTCATCAGTGCTGCTCCAACAGCTTCCCACCGCGTAGAGAGCATTATCCATTTACCTGCCTACCTTAAAATGTTTATTGTCCCTGTGTTCTGAAATCTTCAAAGGGCCTCCACAGCTTAGGACAAAGGTATGGAAGAGAGCCTGCCATGAGCCATTAACTGTGCTGGCTCCCTGTGCATGCTGCACTGGTGTGCTTCCTAAGTGTTTAGGAGTTAAGTGCTTTCTTGGGATTTGAATTTTCAAGGGTCTAGCTCAAACCCCTTTTCTCCTGAGCTTCCCAGACTGCCCAAGGCCCCTGTGCTTACTGCTTTTACTGAGCACTTGAGCACATGTGGTTAAGCCATGAATATGGTACACATCACTCTCAGGTGTTTTGCAATTTTCCTCACCTTCACCTGTAAGCACCGGATATGCCAGAATCCACCTCATCTTCCCAACCCTAGCATATGGCCCAAGGTAGAACATTCTGAGGTCTTGTTAAGTGCTGATTCAAGGACTTTTTTCACATCTCTCAAACCTCTCTTCCATTGAGCCTATGCAATCACAAAGTTTAAGTACTTCAAATTCCTCCTTTGGGCCCTCTTTATCCTATATTCCCATTTGCTCAGAACTGCCTTATTACAGGCATGCACCTGCAATCCCAGCAATGCAGGAGACTGAGGCAGGAGGATTGCAAGTTCAAGGCATCTTACCAATCTGATGAGACTGTGTCTCATAAAATAAAAAGGGCCAGGGACTAAGCTCAGCGATATATAGTGCCCCTGCGTTCAATCCCCAGATTGAGGAGTAAAATAGTCCTAGTACAAAAATATCAGAAGGGACAAGCATCGTTTTCCACTCAAGATGAAAGGAATGGAGTCTGCTCCACCGTGACAGGCCCAGGCTGTAGTCAATCTATACTGGCCTCATAAGGTCAGTCTGAGATAAGTGCTGTCACAAGGCTGGCATGCCCGCATACAGGCAGACTCCTGAGGATGAGAGCAAGGGCACTCAGGCCTGGGAGAAGACATGACATTCCCAGGGCACTGGGAGTTCACCAGCTCAGTGACAAGCACTCACATAGTATATAAGGCTCCAGGTTAGAGTCCCAGTACCTGAAAAAACAAAAACAAGACTCCAGAGTTCATGGGTAGCCATTACTCGCCTCCCCCTAAGTCAAATGTGAAGAATCTCACAGTGCAGCATAAGGAACCTAACCCAGCCTTCTTTTCTGATCCAAAGGAAATGGAAAACTGCTCAAGACTAAGTACTAAGGTTAGGGTGAAATAAAAAGGCCAGGGGTAGGCTACATCCCCTTCTGTTCCCAGTGACATCACTGTCATGAGGTTGAGGCTTAGAACTGACAGTAAGCCAGGGCACCATGGGCTTGGCTGTAACTAGCTGAAGGACTGACCTTCAGGCCCATTTTGCTTTCTTCTATGTTCTCTTCCCTGAGTATCCTATTGCCATTTGTATGACACCTGATATTATTATTCTAAATTCCTGCTGTCTTTCGACTCTATTCCCATCTGTTCACAACTAATGCCTTATGCAGATCCTGTAGGCTCGATTCACCCATGTGAATCTTGTGAATCAATTCTATGTGCCAGAGACAGGATCCAAAGATGAACAGTGCCAAGGCCCTGCACACCAGCCTCACCTTTGCCTTGTCTTCCTTATTACTGCTCAAAACCTATTGTTACACATTAAAAATACACTTAATCTTGTTTCTGTTCTAGATGGCCTACCTCTTTTTAAAAAACTTTTGTTTTACCTTTAGGTGGATACAATATTTTTTTTTTTTTAAGAGAGAGTGAGAGAGGAGAGAGAGAGAGGGGGAGAGAGAGAGAGAATTTTTAATATTTATTTTATTTTAGTTCTTGGCGGACACAACATCTTTGTTGGTATGTGGTGCTGAGGATCGAACCCGGGCCGCATGCATGCGAGGCAAGCGCGCTACCGCTTGAGCCACATCCCCAGCCCTGGATACAATATTTTTATATGGTGCTAAGGATTGAACCCAGTACCTCATGCATGCTAGGCAAACACCTCTACCACTGAGCCACAACCCCAGCCCCGCCCCACCATAACTCTCTATATATTAACTTTCTTCCAAACTCCTATTATCATTTTAGTCTCAAAGTCAAGGCACACAAAAATTACATAATCATTTCTAATTCAAAAGTATAAACTGAGATCATTTATTAGCCTCTGGATGAAAATAGTAATTGCTATTTAGAATAAGCCTAACTATATACTCAACAGTTCTAAGTGTGTTCTTTCTGTACACACATACCACAATCATTGAATTCTAACACGGGAGGTAGGCCATTATTATTCTCACAAATAAGTTTGGTGAAACCCAAATCAAGATCAAGCCAGAGCTACAGGAGCACACAGAGTAGTAAATCTCAGTAGTCTTCCTGGAAACATTTTTTTGCTGCAGATATAAGCAAATATTCATTTGCAATTAAGGCTATTTCCCAAATAGGAACCTAGGACAGCAGCCAGAGGCTTTCCCTGAATTGAGAGGCAGTATGCTAACAATGGTATTTATGGCCTCTGAGTAGAAGATGAATTATTTTCCAACCTCAACCATACTCCAGAATATAATTAATGTTCCCTTAATCATTTCACAAGAGTTGTTCCAGCAGCACAAAAAGTGTCATTAGTATCCTGTCGATTTATCACTCTATGGAAGGAAAGTTTTACGATGCACCCCCAACTAATTCTGAGCAAACCAACCATCAAATATCCTAAGATCTTAAGATCCCCTCTAAACTATTCTCTAGAAACACCACTTGTACCTTTAAATTGCCTTTTTAACAGGGATAGAGAAACAAAAAACTGTTTGTTTGCAAATAAACATCTGAAAGAATATAGTCACAGCTGATCTGGGCTGAGGCAGCAACACAAAGTGATGATTGTGGAAGAAGACAATGCAAACTGCCTCCGAAGCAAGAAACCCAGGGCAGAGCTTGCAGTGATGTACATGCTGGGTGTTTCCACCATCCCAAAGCCCCATCTGGAATAGTAAACTAGGAGGGTCTCTACAGCTTGATAATTACCTGAACAGAAAGAAGCAACAGCCACCAACAGCACTGTGCAGTTTTATTAACCATTCAAGTACAGTAGCATCTGGTAAGATTGGGACAGAATTGGGATTGAAAAGTGAACAGATATTCAGCATCTAACAATTTGAAAGAAGCCACTACATACTCTTCACAAACATGTTTTCACAGAGCCAATACAGTACTAGCCATTAACCCAGTACACCAAGTGCACTGAAGTAGAAAAGATGCAACAATAAAAATAGCTACATTAAAAAGACCAACACATTAGAAAAAGATTAAAACACTTTCAGTTTCTCCCCTTTATCCCCTAAAACAACATCTTACAGTCTGGATCTACCTATACAGTCCTACATTAGCTTCTAGAATATTTGTCAGGAGGGAAAAAATAAAATGACACTGGCCAGTACAGTCTTTGGATATTTAGGAAGGGGAAGGGGAGAAAGTCAGTTCTCAGAACAAATTAGTCAGCTTCAGTTTCATCAGCAGGGTCTTTGGATTCTTTGTTCTTCCGCACTTCTTCAATGTGCTTATCCTGTGGAGAAATTGCATAATCATCATCAGTTGAAAAGTCCAGTTAAACTACAGCCCACCCCATAGGCTCAGTAAACATTACAGCCTGTGGAACTCAACAAATACGAGGTTCTAGGACATCATCTTAAATCTCCTGGGTCACGTGTGAAGCCTAATAGCTAAGCCTTCTACTGCTCTTCCAAGGAATGTCCAATTATGCTGGAAATTTACTCAATGTCTTGATATATACATATATATATCCCAGTCCCATCTAAGCACTTCTCTCATTTACTATGTTATGCTCCCAAATTCAGGACACAAAGGACACCTAACATTTTTTAGTCAAGGCTATTAATTCATGCCAATTCTTTGGTGCCTCAAACTGTAAGCTCTTAACCACTCAACAAAGAAACCAACCTTCTCTCGCAAACGCTCCAGTTTGGCAGCCATTTGTGCCTCTCGGTTCTCTTTGTTAGCTTCCATTTTGTGGGTCAGTTTCTCTTCCGCCATTTTACTGAAGTTGTTGTTTTCTTCTATTGCTTTCTGAATCACTTCTTTCTCATGCTCTCGTTTCTCAGCAAGCTGCTTCAAGACCTCAGCTTCATGAGACTGGAAAAAAGTTTAACAGGCTAGACTCTCTGACATGTCTTTGGCACTAATTAAAATTATAAAAATCATGTCAGATAAGATTGAAGAGGCAGAAAATAGGGTCCCTTAAACAATACTGAAGTTCTGACATGTTATCCTTATCATAAAAATAATGTGAAAATCTTTTTTCCTGTAATTTTTTAACTGGTGCATTATAGTTGTACATTCAACTTCTTTTTCTAGTACTTTATTTGTTTTAGAAAATTGCTCATACTTGTTCAGAAATTTCTTGCCCAATTATTTCTCGTTTCTTTTCCGGTAACTAGGGACTGAACTCAGGGGTGCTTTGCCATGAGTCCCATCCCAAGCATCTCCTCACCTTTTGGAGACAGGACCTCACTGTTACCAAGGCTGGCTTTGAACTAGCTATCCTCCTGCCTCAGCCTCCAGAGTTGCTGGGATTATAGGCATGCATCACCACACCTATCGCCATTGTAAGAAAATCCTGATTAAGATTTATTGCTTAATATTATCCAAATGACTTGAGTAAATACCCTTAGGAATGGCACTTTATTGTAAAGGATTTTGGTTAAACTTCAAAGGCTATCCAAAAGAACACTAGTTCATTTAGCACTAACTGATACACATTCAGATGTGTTTGGAAACACTGCCTCGCAGGGCATAGCTACAGAGATATGCCACTGGTTCTGTTAATTTGCTTCTGCAATATCCTAATGATGATAGGGGTTTCACTACATTTAGGTGGTTATTGTATAAAGCACAAGCTAATGACCACAGGGTCTGGTGATTCTTAAAAATCTTTCCTTGGTCCAGCCTCCAGTCATACTGCTTCCTCCTACTCCATGAACTGCAACTACATGGAATAGCAGGCAGAAGATGACGCACCAATGTAAACAGTCACTCTTCCTGGAGAACAGATTCCCAGCACTAACAGTGGGTCATTATCCACATAGAATGTGGCACTGAAAGTTAGTTACAAGGCACAGGCTCCACCTATTTAAAAAGGGTCATATATGTGTGTGTATGCATGCTTGATTTCATATCACACTATCAGAGCTAGGCTAGGGTGGATTCCTACTTCATCTTTTTTTTCCTTTGCAATGCCAGGGACTGAAGCTAGTCTTGAACATGCTAGGCAAATACTCTACCACTGGGTCACATTCCCAGTCACTTTCACCTTTTTGTACCTTTGATTCCCCCAACCTTAATAAAATTAAATCTACTTACCCCAATTAGTTATTGGGAAAGGAAAGACTAAATAATTAGAATAGAATAATTCTAATGAGAAGAAATACACCAAAATATTAACAGAGGTCACTTCTGGGTAATAGCATAATGAATACTTTTAATTTCCAAAATTATTTCCTAATTTTTCTTACAACTATGTTAGTATTTGATTTTTTCCGATTAGCTCTTTTAAAAGATGGCTACTTTATATGCTTACATAAGAGAAAAGCTTACCACAATACCAGTTGAGCAACACATCCACATCACTAACAATTTTAAATGTTTTTATACTGTATAGCTATAAAAAATAAAACTAGAAAGAATCATCTGCCAACAAATGTTATATTTTTCAAAGAGGAAACACAAGTAATATAAGCATCCTATAAAACAGAACTAAGCTAGAATTCTGGCCCCAACACTGGGTGTAAGACTTCAGGAAAATGACTTAGCGTTCTGAGGCTATTTTCTAATCTCCATTATCTGAGACAATACCTACCCTGTAGAGTCATTGTATTAAAGGGGAAAAACATAGAATCTGGCATATAATAAGAGCCCAATAAATGATGGCTGTTATTTTCCTCCACTATTGACATATATAATTTTCACAGTTAAAATTACAGTGCAGCTACAACTGTTTTCTTCCCGTTATGGAAACAAAACTGATTTGCCCCTTTCACATTAATAAACATCCTGTTTTCTGTGAGCTGTGATGTTTACCTTGCGTCTTTCTTCTGCAGCTTCTAATTTCTTCTGAATTTCCTCCAGGGAAAGATCCTTCTTCTTTGGAGGGGAAAGGGGGAAATCTGGGACCGATTCTTTTGACCGAGGGCTGAGAATCAGCTCAAAAGCCTGGCCTGAGGCACGCTTCTCCAGTTCTTTCACCTGAATATCTGGAGTTGATCATATTTATGATAATTCAGAAAAATGGGATTCTCCTATTCTAATAAATGGTTCCATAATTTCTAAAAACCAAGCCAATTTAATGAATAGAATTAGGGCTGGCGAAGACGTGTTTGTAGGCAAGTAATTACTTAAATACCATCTCCCAGAAAAACAAAGCTCAACATCTTTGGATTAATAAACTCCATTTTGAGGAATTGTATTTGACAATCATTTTAATGAACAAAAGAAAGACTTGCGCAAACTCCACAATTTTGCTTTGGACCAAGCCAAATCCTCTAATTATGAAACAATTATGAGCTCTCAGTACATTCAAGTGATAATCATTTTTTCTTTTTAATTATTCTCCTATTCAGAAAGTGGGTTTGTAATAAAACCAAAACAAGTGCCAGATTAAAATCTTTTAAGACCTAAGCTACCTCCTATTCTTTAATCATAAACCCATCAAAATTTCAGCTTTTCTGAATAGATTACCTACCAGAAGAAGCCATGGTGAATAGAAGACAAGAGACTGGCAGTGTATTCTACACAATCCACTGGTAAGGAAAGCCCTGAAAATGATTTTCAAAAGCATGCAATCAATTTCTTTGCATTTCTGTATGTCATCAATACAAAGGGACCTCAAATCACATCCACATAAATTGATATCAGAAAAATCACTGTGTAATTATGTACATCATTAACCAAGAAATAAAATTATCAGGGTTTCTGAAAATTACTGAAACATACTGGGAAAGCTGAATAAAACACTGGTTGCAAAAGATTGTTAGCTAACCTTGATTATTCAAAAAAAATAAAAATAAGAAGGTAAGTTACAAGGTTGAAGGATCCCTCCCCACTCCCCCCAAAAAACTAAATTTTTTTTCGCCCAAACCATGAGAAGATATTCCAGATTCAATTCAACAGTGAGATCGGAGCCATCTTAATACTGCCTACAACTCATTGTGCAAATGAAACACCCACCCCTGCTTTGTCTGGTCTGCCATGGTGGATAACATGACGCCCAAGCTAACGTTAACCAATTATGTTCAACTCCTATTGTTCTTAAGACTTAAGCTTCTTGCCCAACAGTGAGCAAAATCAAGTTTTGTGAACCTTTAGGTTTTAATATTTCTTGCCTATGTAAAAAAAAAAAATCCTACATGCATTTGTCGATTTCTTTTTTTTTTTAAGATCACGATTCTTGGAGATCTCGGGCTAGTACTGAAAACCTAGGATTACAGGTTCCCAACACACAGAAATTGAAATCTGCGACAGCAAAAACGTCTAGTTTCTACAGAGCTTTAGACAGCACCGGACCCGGGATGGGCGTGGCCCTGGCCAGGACGAGCAGAGAGGGCAGGCTGCCCCCGGCCAATCAAAGCACGCCCTGAGCTCCGGCCCCTGGCCCCGCCCACTTCCTCCCCGCGTCTTTTCGAATCTCCGCGAACTCTCTACACTGAGGAGCCCGCGCGCGTGGGAAGGGGAGGGAGAGGCGGAGCCAACGGTCCTATCCGGGTAACTCCGCCCCTCCCGAACTCGCCCCGCGCGGACGCCCCCCCCTCAACTCCCGCCAAAAACACCGCCAAGCCGCCGCTGCAGCTTGGCGGGTGGGGCGGGCACAGGGAACTGGCCGCCGGGTAGCTCCGCTGTCCGCTGCCTATCTCCTCCCGTCACCTCAATACCCAAACAGCAGTATCCAGAACTGTTCGCGGTGCCCTTCCGCGGGGATCGGCGAACCACCCTGGACGAGTCTCCCAACCATGGGAGAGGGCAACAGCGGGGCCGGGGCGCGGCCCCAGCCGCCTGCAGCCTGGACCTAGGGCTGCTGCTCTCCAGGGGCGCGCCCTACTCCTTCAGACAATAGGGACCCCACAAAAGACGCATACAGAAGGCGAGGGAAAGGGGAGGCAGACGAGGGCCCACGCCCCCTATTGTCTCCTCGACGGCACCCCGATACTGACGACCAGAGTTCTCCCAGCTGGCCGCGCCCCTTCCCCACGACAGCCGCGCCCCCAGGGAGTGGGGACAAAGCCGGGGCTCCGCC